CGGCTTGCTCCAAAGCTCGATCCCTCTCCCGCCTTCCAAGTGTGACCTCCACAGATAAATATCTTATCCTTTTATTTTGTTCATGAAGCTCGCGCTTGAGCTTGTCAGTGTCGACCGACTTTTGGCTATCCGAGGCCTTTAGGCCATTGATCATATTCTCTCACACCTCCATTTCTAGGCGCCACATGACCAGTTCCTCCTGCTTATTCAATAATGATAGAAGAGCCTTTTCCAGGTCGATCTTTTGAGCCTCCAACTCCTCCAAAAGCCTGAGATAGGAAGCTCAGACTTATTCTGTCCGGCTAAACATTTCCTGCTCTACCAGAGCCCCACAAACTAGGTAGCTCCTATGGCTCAGGTTGAAGACCGACATCAGGAACCTCCCCCAAAATTTGTTCATCACCAGGAAGATAGAATTTCTCAACTGCTTTTGACTGGGTGAGCCGAGACTCAAGGCCCGACCCCCTTCTCGTGCAGATAACGAGTCAGCATATACATATGCTTTGGGTTAGCTCCTTGTCATGTTAATGACAGACTCTAGAGGACCCTATCAACAACATCCTCTATCTGTCCCATTTCTTAGACTTGATCTCATCGACGAGATGAGGATATGACCACCCTAGTTCCTTCAAGGGGGTGCCCCCTCTTTGGCAAGCTCCTTCCCTTTGTGTTCGGTTGATTCGGCAAGAACAGCTAAAGCCCCTTCCCCACCTATGGGCCTCAGTCTCCACTAGGATCTCATCTCTCCTAGAAGCCTCGGGCTCGACCTCTGCCACTTGATGGTCGGCCCTCTCCTCTTGTGCTGAGGATTCATCGTCAAGATGGATGACTTCGATCTCTGCCATCTCAGTCATCTTCTTTGGCCCTTAGCTGCCCACCTTCCTCAGCCTTTTTTTCTGTTCGGCCTGAGCAGCAAAAGCATCGGTCCACCCGACCTAGTAGCTATCTCGGCCGCTTGAGCTTGAACCTTCGTTGTCTCCCCAGGGACCAAAGCTTGATGAAGACGCTTCACCAGCCTCGACGAAGGACCTTCCTAGAGCCCCTCCAGAGTCTCAACAGGTGGAGCTATCTGTGCCTCGGCGGCTTCATTCGAACCCTAAGTCAACATGGCCACCCTTGCATCATCCTCAGCTAATTGTAGCATGGAGAAGATGCTGAGGATTCCTTACGAGAATCCGAGTATGCCTTAATCTGCTCTAACGTCCGTCTCTTGGCACTCGACAATGGCCCCGCCTTAAGAGCCTCCCTAGAGATCTCGGGCCAGTCAGAGCAGCCTATGTCCGGGTCATCTCCCAAAACCCAATACAAACCTCTCCTTCTAATCTTTGTTTGACTAAGGAGGATCAAAGATTATCTTGTATCCACCCAGCACCTAAAGATGATAACGAGCCTCTCACTGATGCACCTTGGCAGTAATAATGTTGCTAAGAAAATTCAAGGTTGGGTCGACTCCCAACCAGTGACAGATGATAATGAACCATATGAGGGTAGTAATCGAATTAGGCTTCATCTGCATCGATGATACACCCAAGGCCTTAAAAACATGATAGAGGAAAAGGTGTAGGGGCAGACATAGACCATACTCCAAATGCTTCACATACACTGGATTCTGACTTGCGTTATGGTCAAAAACCACCTACGACTTCACTAGCGCCTTCAAGGTAAAATCTTGAGGAATATAAAACTTCTTGTGTAGTGCCCTCAGTTGTGATATGGTCACCTTAGAGTGAAATATCTCTAACTGGCCTTGTCGAACTCTAGCAGCGGAAGTCACTGTTAAAACTATTTCAGAGATTGCCGGAGAAGATGAATGATCAGAATTTTTTCTCAATTAAAATTAAAAAAATCTTAAAAAGTAATAAACCTCCTTTGGTTGCAGCAACCTATATATAGACATAGAAATTGAAAAATGTCAGAATCCTAATGATCGACTCCTCGCTCAAGCAATAGTGGACATCAATCCTAAAAATCGAAGCGATGACTCTAGAATCGAGGCACCCCTTGCCTTAATTCGCCCACAATCACTCATTAGCTTCTTTATGGCCTTGGATGATGCTCTTTGGTTCAGATGATCGTATTTATTTAATCTCAAATTGCATGCGGGAACCAATAGGTATTTTTTGATGCCTACACTCTAGCATCCAAGAAAGCCGGATCTTCTGATCCGAACCCCTCGATCAAGGAGATAGCCACTGGGGTCGTGCCAACTCTATCAAAGATGGCTCGTAAAGGCAACGACAATGCCTAACACGTCAGCCCACTATTTCTTTGGAGCCAATCAACGGGATCCTCTATGAGGCGGATCTGAAATTTAGAAAGCGCCAAACATTTTTGTAGCGAGTAAATGACCACTCCTTCAAACCATCAACCAATGAATGAGTCCACATCAAAAGGACCCGTTCGACTCTCGAGGAGTGTATTCAGAAGCACTGCACAAAAAATGAAGCGAAAGCGTATAAGAATTATGCCCTAAGGACAATGTCATCATATCTGAAAAGACTTTAGTCACAACTCATTAATGCGCCTCGTGGATCGGTAACTGACAACTATTTAAACTTCCACCCATACTCGGCTAGCCGATTTCAAGTGGGAAGGGGGCCATGTATTATAGCCTAGAAAATCAACAAGTGTTGATCTCCCTAGAGAGACCGACACGTGTCTCACCCCCACCTAATCAGACGAATTAGGGCTAAGACGACAAAAACTACTCATATGACCGAGCCCACGGCTAACAATTTGTGTAGCCGAGTCAAAAGACGGTACTTGTCGGCCACCTCTCCCTATAAAACCCCTAGGGCCGATAACTTGCTTAGCTGAGTCAAAAGGTGGTGCTTCTCGGCCCTTGACTAAACTAGAAGGAAGGCGACAGTAACCTTGAACCCCTCACCAGCCAACTGCTCCCATATTAACTGCTCTGGTAAAACATCATTACTCTAGCACTCATAGTCTTTATGATTCATCAGACCACGTCAGCTCTAAGCCCCTGCTGTCATTCCCTCATTAAATGACCAGATGACTGACCTTCCTCTATGGTCGACACTAGAAGATATCTGCTGACTTAGCAGCCTGATTGGACTCGACTGAAGTTACCTTTATGCCCCTCCTATCTACTATAAAAGGGAGCTACGTTACATGAGTAACTTCTTCTGCATTTTGGTAACTTTGATTAACTACATATACTACTTGTCTCATTTTCTCACTCAAGATCAAAATACTGACTTGAATGTCGAAGGAACCATCGGAGAACCCAACTCCGCCCTTTTACGAGTTTTTCATGTGCAGGGAAGAACAGAGGGACCTGAACCAGTTATCTGAAGAAGTTTGAGGACCCTAAACACTCTAATAACTCTAACGTAAACCCCCTGTTTGATAACTGACATCAACACATGTAATATTGGCCTAAGTGCAAATACACCGCCTTAGTGAACTTTTTAGATGTTTTTAAATGTAAAATAAAAATAAAATAGTAATTGAGTGTCCACCCTCACCAATAGAATTAGATCAGGGGTCTACGCACATAATCAAACATTTTTAACAATTTCAAGAGATAAAAAAATTTATTTTGAGTGTCTATTCATAACAAGTAAAGCTATAAGGGGTCTTTCACAATAATTAGAACACATGAGGTCTCTTTACAATTGGGTGATACTACACGAGAACCATTCATTTAATTCTTAAAACAAAGTAGCATTTATACACGTGTAGATGTACGTGCATAAGAATTTAATTAATTTTCTTCTTAGCCATGTATCTTCTTCATTTCAAATTTTAAGCGGCGACTTTATCAATTCATTATATTTTCTATTGATTTTATCTTTCTAAATTCTGTTTCTTTTATTTCAGAACATATTCCAAGACAACATTTTTAAAATGAGGAAGATTTTTCCACTCACTACATTAAGTTCCTACTTTTTCTAATATTTTCTTTAATATGTAAAAGCGGCCTATTATTTACTCTTTAACACAATTTTTATCTTAAAGATAAAATAATGCTTAATTATGTGCTCACAATTATATTTCATGGCATGATGTGTGTTCTCTAGAATGTTCTTGGAACAAAAAATGATAAAAAGAAAAGATAGAAAAATCTCTATTGTAACCATTTTATTCTTTTAATTACAATACTATTTCCATGTCATTAAAATCTAGAATATTCTTGAAGAAAGAAAGGGGAATAAAGAGAAGAAAATTGAAGAGAAAAATATTATTGAAAAAAATTACTATTTTACCCCTCAGATCACAATTGCAAAGTGCAAATGTCCACAAATCATACAATTTTTTGATTGCTCTCACTTAGGGGTTTATTTTGTTATAATATTATTATTATGGATGTCCATTGGTATTCCAAGGAGTTATAATAGTACTAATTGTAGATGTCTATTGACATTTCCAAGTAAATTCTCATAAATATGATGCATGTAACATCTCTCTTTCATATGCCTATAAGTAGATGACATGAGATTGTATTTATAAGTGAAGAAAGAAAGAAGAATTAAAGGATTGAGTGCTCATTGTCTTCTCTCTATTCTCTTTACTCATATTGCTATCCATTAGAGCATCTCCAACCATAAAACTCAAAATGATGTAGTTTTTACACCAAGTTGGTGTAGTTTTTACACCAAGTTGGTATAGTTTTTACACCAAATCACTATTCCATCTCCAACCCATTACACCAAATCTTACACCAAAAAGAATATTCCTTTTATTATTCTTATCTTTTAACATTTTTACCTATTTAAAATATTTAACAAATTATATAACTATATAATTATATAATACAAATAATTAATTATAATAATATATTTTATGAATAAAATAAAAATATAAAAATTAAATGCTACATCAAATTAAAATATTACTTTCATAAAAATTCAACTAAAGATTACACTTAACATCACAAAGGAAAACATCACACTTACAAGCAAAATAAAAATAAAAATAAAAGGCATTAAATTTAACATAAAATAAAACACAAAGACACGGTCCATATTAATAAAATTCTAAGTCTCCGAATTAGTATATTCATCCCACAAATGATCAATTAATGTATCTCGAAGTGCAATATGAGCTTCTTTATTATTGATTTGTCGATGACGAGCTAGAAATCCTTCAAACCGAGCATTTTCATCTACAACCATCTCTACGTCCGGAACTAGCGCTTCCTTCCAATTTTCAATTATAGCATTAAGATCACGTTCATTCTCAATTATCATGCTGTGCATAATAATGCACGCAGTCATTATATCATGTAATACTTCTTTTTTCCAAAATCGAGCTGGTCCTGACACAATTGTAAATCGAGATTGGAGTACTCCGAATGCATGTTCTATATCTTTTCTGCATCCTTCTTGCTTCATTGCAAACAACTTTTTTTTGGACCACGTAGATCATGAATTTTTTGTACAAGAGTAGACCATTTTGGATATATATCATCAGCTAAATAGTAACCCATGTTATAATGTTTACCTTGAATGACATAATAAGCAGGAGGAGCAATACCTTCAGCGAGTTTTGCAAAAAGATGAGATGCCTCTAAAACATTAATGTCATTATTGGAACCTGACAAACCAAAATATGCATGCCATATCCAAAGATCATAATCAGCTACGGCCTCCAGAATAATAGTTGGGGATCCACTACGACCTGCGTATTGGCCCGCCCAAGCCGTTGGACAATTTTTCCATTTCCAATGCATGCAATCTAGACTGCCCAACATTCCTGGAAAACCTCGTTGTTTAGCAATATGTAGTAGTCTGGCAATGTCATTAGCGTTAGGCGATCTCAGATATTGTTCTGCAAAAACCTCCACAACAGCACGGTAGTCTGGCAATGTCATTAGCGTTAGGCGATCTCAGATATTGTTCTGCAAAAACCTCCACAACAGCACGGCAAAATCTCTTAAAACTTTCGATTGCTGTCGACTCTCCTATTTTAATGTATTCATCAGTGGCATCCGCTGGTAGACCATATGCCAACATGTGGAACACAGCTGTAATTTTTTGAAGCGTAGACAATCCAAGTCTACCGACCCCATCCCTTTGCTGTATAAAGTAAGTGTCGTGAGCTTTTATGGCGTTAACAATGCGAAGGAATAAATCTCAAGACATTCGAAATCGTCGGCGGAACATCGAATCATTATATCACGGATTCTCAGAGAAGTAGTCGTTGAACAGATTATGATCAGCATTTTCTCGATCACGATTGATCACTATATGACCAGGAATTGAGCCTCCACGGATTACTTGGTTATTTTGTTGATTGATATAGTAAGCCATGAGAAGGTTGTTGTTGTTTCTGATGCGAAACATCACTTCCCTTTCTGCATCAATCGCTTCAATATCATCTATCAATTGTTCATCTTTAATTTCATTATCAGAAAATGATGATAACAAATTAGAAGGATCTATATTGTTAAAATTCATTTTTGAAAATAGAGGTTTATGATTTTAGCAAACTCATCAATATGAGCTTTTATAATAGATGGAGAAGATAAACGAGAAGTGTTTTAGAAGTTGAAATGTTGTCATGAAGAGTTGTCATGAAGTGCTAGAAATTGATATGTTGTCATTGATGTGTAGAAGTTGAAATGTTGTCATGAAGAGTTGTCATGAAGTGCTAGAAATTGATATGTTGTCATTGATGTGTATTTTCTTTGAAATGTTGTCATGAAGTATTTGAAGTTGATATGTTGTCATTGATGTGTCTTTCATGAAGTGCTAGAAGTTGATATGTTGTCATTGATGTGTCTTTTCTTTGAAATGTTGTCATGAAGTGTTTGAAGTTGATATGTTGTCATTGAGGTGTCTTTTCTTTGAAATGTTATCATGAAGTATTTGAAGTTGATATGTTGTCATTGATGTGTCTTTTCTTTGAAATGTTGTCATGAAGTGTTTGAAGTTGATATGTTGTCATCGATGTGTCTTTCATGAAGTGTTTGAAGTTGTGATGCGGTATAAACATGTACCAAAAAGGTTGCAAGTGCACAACCGTGTCAAGTTATAGTATAAAGATATCGATCCCACGAGGAAGATGTTTTTGTAGGAGAAAATATAAAATCGGATCTTATGTTATGTGCGTGACAAATAGGAGTGATGAGTGAATGTGATTGTGGAGAGATAATGAGAGTGATAGTGTGTAGATCAATGTGTTTGAGAATAAATGTGATCAATAAGGCAAGAAAGAAGAATGAATAAAATTAAGAAACAAATCAAAAATAAAATTCAAGAATAAAAAAAAATGTAAGAAATTAAAGATGGTGGATTCAATTATAGATATGGGTAATCTAAAATTGAACACAATTCTTAGAAAAGGGTGATTCCCTAGAGGGTTCTAGCCTAAAGGCGAATCAAACAAAATAAAAATAAACAAAAAGAAAAACTAAACCCAAGAGGGTTCTAGCCTCAAGGTGAATAGTGCAAGAAATTAAAATCTAACTACAAAATAAATTGTAAAATATAAACTATAAAATAAATTTGCAAGAATTAAATGCAAGAAAATAAATCTACTCTATAAGCATGAAATAAATCTAAGGCAAGAGGGTTCTAGCCTCTTGGCTATTTAACAAGAAAATAAAATCTAACTACGCAATAAAAAGAAATAAAAGAGAAAAAGAAAAGAAATGCAAACCTCTAAATAATTCTTCATCTCCATCTTCATCATTCAACAAAGAGAATAAATATTTAAAGTGGTGAAAAAATTATTATTATTAATTGTAACAAAAAGTTATAAATTTGGAAGGCCTTAAGTGGTGAAAAAATTATTATTATTAATTGTAACAAAAAGTTATAAATTTGGAAGGCCTTCTCAATTAAAAGTAGCCCTCCTCTCCAAAAGGAGTTACAAAAATTTTCACACCTCTATCCCCTCACTCTCAACCCCTATTTATAGTAAACATCAATGAATGAGAGCCCTTGGATCAAACTTGAGCCCCAAGAATGCAATTTCAGCCGTAGATGAAATCTGGATGACTTCGCATCGATACAGGCATCGATGCCCACATCGATGCCCGCATCGATGCTAGAATCAATGCTCTAATAAGAATTCTAACTTCACGGTTGGCTTCGTCTCGTCGAGATAGGTGATTTTTATATATTATATGTTAAATTCCGCCTCCCGGATTGGGAGATATCGCCGTTTATTTGTGGCCAACTATCTTGAATACATTTTTTTTCATATTTAATTTTTTTATTTTCTCCGGCTTCTACAGGCTACTCGGCTTGATTCTGGGCTTGGGCTTTTTGACTCTTGCTTGTGTTCTTCATTTAATTCATGGGTTTTTGTTGAGTTAAGAGATCTTGGGCTTTATTCTTTACTAACCTGCAATTAAAGATAAAAACAATTATTAATGGCATATTTATTCATATAAAATAGATAATGAGGGTATAAATATGTAATAAAATGTGATTATCAAGTTGATATGTTGTCATTGAAGTGTCTTTTCTTTGAAATGTTGTCACTTTCATTTTTCATCTATAAATAACATATCATACTTCAAGAAACATATATCTTCTTCATTTGTGTTATAGATGGCTTTAAATCAACGAAGTTCTTCATACACAAATGCTGAAGACTCACACCTCTGCCATGTATATCTTGACATTTCCCAAAATCCAATCATAGGTATAAACCAATCTAAGGATCAATTTTGGTCTCGAGTTGAGAGTGATTATCATAGCTCAATGCCTGCTTTTATCACTCAAGGTCGACCCAGAAGATCTTTGTAATGTTGAATGCAAACTCTCCTAACTGCTATTGGCAAAATGAGGGGATGTGTAAGACAGGTTGAAAATTTAAATCCAAGCGGTGCTTCTGAACAATATATTGTAAGTGTTAAGTTTTGCAAATATTTTTGAGATTTAATTTATGATTGAATTTTAATTTTATATATTTATATCATTTTGCAGTTCAATCGGGCTAAAGTGTTGTTTGCTCAGGATAAGAATTTTAAGAAGGGATTCAAATTCGATCATGTATGGCCCCATCTTGAAAGATATCGAAAAATTTGCAGATGTTAATGTTGGAATTCAAGTGGGACGTATGCAACATGGTAACTTTGCAGCATCACAATCAGAGTACTCTCCCACTTCAGACTCTCCCACACCAGCATCTCCTGGACTGGCTTCATTCGATTTTAATATGAATGACAATGATTTTGGTGGTACTTCAACTTAAAGACCTATAGGGGTACGGAAAGTAAAATTTAAAAAGAGAAATGATGAAGAAAGATCTAATAAGTTTATGGAGTATATGAAAAAAGAGAATCAAAAAATTGTTGCAATGATGGAAAAAAATAATGCTGATAGGCAACTAAATTATGAAATCCAAATGCTACGAGCTCAAACTACGGCAAAAAAAGTGGACGTGCAAGAATTACGAGAAGAAAATTTAATTTTATTGAAAGATTTGACACAAGTAACTGATCCAAAGCTACATGAATTTTTTGTACAAGAACAATCAAGAATTATGCATAAAAGAACTAAACAAGGTGAATGATCTCAAAATACCGGTTCTGGCACTTTTGCCCAATATTTCGAGCATCTTCGTCCTTCTGATGATAATTTCCCAGAATACTAAAATGTTATTTTAGTTTATGTTCAATGTTCTATTTTTTTTTAATTTTAATGTATTGCAATTAGTGTTAATTTTCAATATTGTTTTAGTTTATGTTCAATGTTCTATTTTGTTCTAGTATTATGAAATTTTAAGTGTTTGGATTAAACTATCTATTTTTTTTTCCATTTTTGAATTTTATTTTTAATAATTATTTTATACTCTAATTTTATTATAATAGTTCATATCAAAATAATAAAAAAAAGCTACAATGTAATATTTTGATCATGAATAAAAAGAGAAACATTACAAACCATCAACAAAATATTAAACTCTATGTTAAAAAAAGGTAAAAAATAGAAAAAAAAACGCAACTGCGCCAAAGCTACAGTGCTACGCTAAATCTGGCGCAGTACTGTAACTCTCCCCCAAAATGGCGTAGAGGATAGAGTTCGGTTGGAGGTTGATTTGAAGCGGTTTTTGCGTCATCTTGGCGTTTTAGCTACCGGTTGGAGATGCTCTTAGCTTTATAACACGTTATTAGCACGAGACTCTATCCCGCTGTGGCACAATAGTTTGTTTTAAGGTAAAGATTTCTAATCTCTATATTATATATTATATTGATTGAGAATTTGGACATATTAACGCATTAAGAAACTTTTCTTAGTTCTTCTTGGATTAATATATTTTACTAAAATATAAATATTGGTTCAGTTAAGGTTTGATTTTCATCATGTAAAATTTTACATTGATATTAGATTTATTCTATGCAAGATATAAGATTTTTGTTGTTGTTATGGATTATCTATCATGCTTCATATTCTCAATTTTATATAAATAACTTATGAATTCAAAAAGAAAATGTCATGTCTTCAGTCAGTCTAAAAAAAGGGTACTTAATCTAATTTTCTAGTTGGATTATTCATATTTTATTTTGCATATTTATTGGATGCATGCACAGGGTACTTAATCTAATTTTCTAGTTGGATTATTCATATTTTATTTTGCATATTTATTGGATGCATGCACATGCCATCAACTACGTCTTTAGTTGGATTATTCATATTTTATTTTGCATATTTATTGGATGCATGCACATGCCATCAACTACGTCTTATTAACTCTGTCTTGTTTGTTTCTTATATATACTTATGAATTTTTATAACTATAAATTGATCATATACTAACTTATTTTTTATAATAGCATCATGGCAAATTTGACAAAGCTTGAGTTTGTGGCATTAGACATCACGGGCAAAAATTATTTATCATGGATATTTGACGCTG